CGTAATTAAAACGAAAACGAGTCGCCTCCACAATATTATTACACAACTCAACCGGCACAGTATATTTACTAGTTTCGCTCATGCGGAGACCACTGCTTATAATAAATAGACAAAAAGGGGGCACGTTGATAATTTTATTCGGGCATTTTCATTTCTACGATAATAATAAAATATGATAATACAGCTTTGTGTTTTTACGGACCCGGAAAACCACCATCGTGTCCGACAACGTTTTGCTGCGGTACCTACCGCAGACTTCTGGTACGGTTAAGTACCGACCCTGCTACAACAAAATTATATTTAATGCATAGTAAGTTATATTAACGTGTTTGCGATTCCGGATTTGAGCATAATAATATTACCCCCATAATAACAATGACCAATAATCATTCCTACCTGCAAGGCCATGCACTTATCTTATTTTTGCAAATAATGTTATCGTATCATACAGTTTTTAATATTCAGATATTCTGTAATATAACATATTTGTTTAATTCTGTGGTATTTCTCATGAAAGTACCTAATACTGTTAAAAAAAAATTATTTTTTATTTTTATTTTTATTTATTCTTCAAGAAGCTAATGGGCTCCACTCACAGGGTCACAGTGAGCAACTGACTATATAGACCTTGCAAAATGTATAAACTATAATCCAATTCATAGGGAACATTTTGACAGCCAGGTACACGTGTCAGAATCGCAACCCAATTGCCCTTCTAAAATTTGACAAAAAAACGAAATCAGCATTAGAAGCGACAGAAACTAAAATACTACATCTCTACCAAAACAATCACTTTCAAACGACTACACCAGCAAAATATGGGAGCAATCCATTTCGAAAGGAGCTGACATCGTATACAGAGGGGCCAGGAACACGGCATATTCAGATGTACCAGAGCCACACTCAGCGACATACACACTTTTACACACTACAACTGTTCAATTTATATTATTGTGATAAATTACTATTTCATTTTACTGTTCAAATTGACCACGGCCTATTTCAAATCATTATATTTTGGATCACTGACGGTCCACATATAACACTGTAACAAAAACAAAGTAGGTACTAACATGCAATAATAAATAGAGTAAAAATTGTCTAGGGTTATGTGCCAAAATTATGTAATTAAAATTCAAGTTAAAAAAATTCCAGGTGTCGGTAGTATGTTCGAATCTACAAACATTGTTTTTGGGCTATTCGAGGTGTCGAGGTGGCGTGATTCGTTAAAACAATTACAATTCTAAAATATTTAAAAAATCTTTTATATTATCTCTGAAATTAGTTCAAACTTTCATCGTTTTACAATGGGTAACTAAATTATATATAATCGTTTATTAAACATATGATTCGACAATGAAATATAAATATTTCGAAATTCGGTTACGACCTGTGGTTGTGCCATAGATTCTCCACCCTCGTATATGACGAATAATATAGACGTATTGTACTCTCGCGTTGACGATTTTGTTTGGCACACGTCGTGGGAGATCGTTGGAAAATATAACGTGAGACAGCGAGAGACAGCCCCCCCCCCCCTCGAAACGCACTACTCAGTCTAGTCTACGGGGTGAGGAGTTGGTTCGTGGTAGCCCTCATTGCACCCGGTAGTCGGTATACTACCCGTTCGAGAAGAATCCATCATAGTAATAATAACAATTCATGTTATTATTATTATTGTTGCCGTGTCTGCGTCACCATCCGGCCAGGTTTGTCGGGGCACATCCCCTGCTCACGTGTACATTGTACGATATATAATATAAACAATAAAGGCTATAAAAGGACCCTCCTGTCTAGGTAATGTGTGACCTCATCGTCGTTTACAGCGGGACTCGCGTCTGTCGAGCGTTTTCCCGTACCAATCAGAGAGTCCATCCATTGCAACCGTTTATAATTTTTTAACCCAAAGACCACGATTTATTTATTTGTTTAATTAAACGTGCGTGTAGAGTTCAAGCACAGTAGTTATATATATATATATAAATTATATGAGTGTATAATAAAGAAAAAAGTAATTTTTATAAGTGATAAAGAAAATAACATAAAATTGATTTAATTAAGTATTACCATTTATAACAAAAATAAATTTTAAAGTACAATATTGCAATGGCATTAATGTAATTATTCTAATCAAGGCAAATAACTTATAATATAATGCCTAAAAAAAAATCAAAACAATGATCAATACTGAATAAATATACTAACAAGAATTAGTGTATAGGTAATAATATGTATGTGATGAAATTAGGTTCCCACATAGATTTTGATAATTGTGTGTGTGGTTTAAGTTTTTGATTATTTTCGAAGTTAAATGAACGATGGTTGTTTAACAATAAACGTTTATACCTCGAAAATGATCGCTTGACATTGACAGATGTGATTGGAGCGAATTTATGGTATCTAGTGAGTAAGTAATTTATTTGTAAGTCTTCAAGAACTCTTTCCATTTAATTGTTTTACCTTCTAAGCCAGAGATTCCCAACCAGGGTGCAGCGAAATTTATTTAGGGTGCCTTGAAATTATTTGAAATATATTTATAAATTTATATAATATTATAAAACCTATTGTGTTTCATATATTTTATAGAAATATTACGATGTGTTAATGTTCATACCCGATAGAATCTAAGGATAGTCTTTCATATAATTAAATATACATTTTTTAAATTTTTGTTTTTTAAGACAATTAAATACTAATTTACATTTTATACACTTAAAATGCAAATTTAACAAAATGGGCACAGGAATTTCAGATTAAATATTGAAAATATAAGCAAAAAATCCCTATAAACTGCTAGTAATTAGAAACAAATGGCTGAACCGATTAGTTTAGTATGACGATTAGAAGGCTTAGAAAGTCTTAAGCAATTTATTTAAATTATTTTTCCAAATGTATATGGGGCATGAGGCCCTACTCAGTTGGGGCCCGGGATGCGATTGCATCCCGTTATCCATTGCCAGCCCGTCGTAATTTATGCATATTCAGATTTTTATAACGATAATTTGTGAACGCAGTTTGATAAAAATCTAAGACTTTATAAATTAAACTATAATATTGTTTAATAATTTATTATCTGGTTGAATTGTTTAAATATCAAAATATAACACGATATTATAATGTTATTTATTTACATCACTACGGTTTACTAATAAACAGAGTACTCACAATAAAATATTATTTTGTTGTACGGGTTGAACTCTATTTGCTGTAAAAATATGTATTTTTCGAAAGAATTTTTGATAGGAATTTCCTTCGCTTCCATCGGTATAGCAGGAGTTTCTTTCCTATTGTCAAGGAGAAAAAAACCAACTACCCATGGACATGGAATTAAAAAAATGGAAGACTTCTTGGAGGTAAACAAAATATAATACATAATATCATGTAGGTTTATATTATAACAATAAAGTTTAAATTCTATAATATTTGTCATTTTTATTATAACCAACATATTAATTAGTTTCGGAGCAAAAACCTTGTGTGACTGGAGTGCATACCTGCAGGTTCTTGCTCTGAAATGTAATAACCTAGTAAGTCCATTTGCTTATATTATCTCCGTAACTAATAATCGGACATAACGGTTTGTTACACCGAAATGTGTAGTTTATTTCCTGATCAGGAAACCACAGTAAAAATACTTTTTTGAAAAAGGGACATATCAGGTTTTTCACAGAAGGATTCCATACTTTTTAGCTTAGATAGGTATAGCCAGGTACAAATATTTACCATAAGTGCCAATTTACACTTATGAGTTTGTAAATTTAAGTATTAGTAACAGTTGAAATTCACTAACTTTTAACTTGCACATTTAATTATTAATCTGTAACTAATATGAAATAATTACAAGTCACATAATATATTATGTTGGTAAATTGCAACCCATATTAATAGTTAAATTTACAAATCATAAATATGAGTAAACTTCAACTATGGACCTACTGATAATTTTACAAATTAAATAGGTTAATACAATATTAATTCAACTTCGATATGATTTTAAATTTACAAGTAATGCGATTATATAATAATATAGTACCTATTTATATTAATAGGATGAAAACGATAAGTTTTTCGATGCGGAATCGATGAGTTTTCGGTCCGTGTCCGATGATGAATTCGTAAGTTTTCGGACCATGTCCGATGAAGATTCGAGAAGTTTTCGGACCATGCCCGATGAAAACTTGAACGATAACACAAAGCTCGTAAAATCAATAGGAGGTCAGTTTTCCATATGATATTGAGTATAATTTTTTAATTAAAACTATTTTCATATAATTCCATACTTTCTAGAACTGTATATGGACGCGGTGGAAAAGCAGGCGTTCGAGGACCTACAAGTATGAAACTAAGAACGGCTTTAGAACAATCGAATGTAATCATATAATATCGCAGTGCTGATAAACGGTTTTGATTTGATTTTCAGCATAACTTTAAAGTTGTTGAAATGAATTGTTTGGAGTTGAAACATCACGTGGCCGACGCAATGTATACCTTTCAACAGACGGCCGACGATCAGCGCCTATCGATCGACAGCCTGAAACTAGAAGTGTCTAGCCTTAAAAAAGATTTGAACCGTTTGACCTCCGATCTGCTGAAAAATACAGAGATGCAGTCCGCCGAAATTAATATTATATAATATATCGACCTGAATATACCCATAACAGTGTAATACATTAGACGTTTCCGTTCGTTTAGCAAACACCGAAAAACCCGACGGCTGCAAGCTACGTAGACTGAAGACAAGGGTCTCGGTTCTTGAAAGTAATATAATATAGAAAAATAACGGTTAATAGATAATAAAGTACTAATGACGTGTGCCCGTGTAGGTGATGTGAAGAAAAACTCGATAGATATCGTTGGAATAAACCACGTGTTGATGTTAAGGTTGACGAGCTCGGGGGCTGCCGCTGAAAATGATGTGTCTGCAGGAGAAAACCTTTTCGAGCTGGACACTCTGAACGCGCAATGCCACAAACCTACCTCGCCGACGACGTCCTCATTCTTTACACCCGTCGCAGGCCCGCCTTCTGCGGTAACCTCGGAAAATTTTTGGCCGCCACCTCCACCTCCTGCAGTAACCTCGGAAAACTTTTGGCCATCTCCTCCGTCTCATGCTGTAACCTCAGAACATTTTTGGCCGCCACCTCCGCCTCCTGCAGTAACCTCGGAAAACTTTTGGCCACCTCCTCCGTCTCATGCTGTAACCTCAGACAATTTTTGGCCACCTCCTCCGTCTCATGCTGTAACCTCAGAAAATTTTTGGCCGCCTCTTCCGCCACCACCGATGATGACCGGCACGGCAGCGTTCCGCTGTGACCCTGCTGTGTAGAAGCCGTGCGCATTCGTGCGTGGAGCCGAGGGGAAAGAATTGCAAACTTACTGCCGTGTGTCCATAACGGAGGAGAATTTGAGGGCCGTCGTCCTCAAGCCTGTAGCCCGTCCGACTTGATCTTAAATCCTAATCTTCAAGTTTAATTATCTAATGTATAATGTATTTAATTTGTGTAACATATTATGTATTAGGTATGTGTATTTCTGTGCATAAATTAATAAACCTGTTTAATAAAATATACCCGACGTATTTGTTTTATAATGTAGGTTTTCAAATTACCGTTACAATATTATTATGAGTTATTAAAGTCTCACTATAAGACTTTAATCATTTTTAAGTCCTGAAAAACTAAATGCATAATAGGTATAGTTAAGAATTTTGATGGAAATGGGGTCATATAACCAGTGTCGGGACTTATTTAGATAATTTAGCTTTATTATATATTTCAGCTAGTATAATTATATTTTATCATTGCTAATAATATGTAAAGCTCATAATACATACTTTATACGGTGCGATTCACCAAGTACATTCACCCCTTTTTTCTTCAATAATATTTTAGTTCTTAAAAACAATTTTTGAATAGGTTTGAAGACCACAATTTAGTTATTAGATACCTTATAAATTCTTGACATTTTAAGTGTTACTTAAGGAGATGTGTCTTGTGGCGAAACAAACTTCTGTTTTTTTTAATAAGAACTCCCCTCTTCAACTGTAAATAACTTAAACGACAATTTTTTTAAAAATGTTGACGTGTCAAAATCAAAATTCTAACGAGTAGTTTTTGAGTTGTTTAACTTTGTGTACTAAGGAAATAGATCTATGTTAAGGGTTTGAAAGATTCAAAGATTGGGGGCTCTAGCGATATAATCGTTTCGGTAATTAATATTAATCCATCAACATTTATAATTTGTAAAAATGGTCCAAGTACCTATAATAGAGACTAGATCCAATATTACATGTATTTGATATTTTTGTAAAATCATTTTACATTATAAATAATTTTATAACTGAGAAACAACGAGTTCAAGTTTTGAATAAGTTATATCAAAATGAAAAAAAATATTATCAACTAAATTACAGTCAAAAATAATGGAAAGTGGTTCTTATATCACAAACAGAAATTTGCTTGGCCACTGAACACTCTTTGAGGCTTAAGTACTACAAACATCTCAAACATTTGAAAACATGGTTTTAAGTATATTTAAAAATTTTAAAAATCAGAATTTGAATAAATTCGTTATGAAAGGGAAAATGGGGGAGCGCAATGAGCATAATATGCAAACATATATATATATATACATATACAGGGACGGCCTGGGAGAAAAATTCAGGCCGGGAAAATGTATTACACCAGGCCACATTTCAATGTTTACGCTTTATGGCATAAGCGTTACTATATAAGGGTTATGTTTTATCCCCCCCCCAACACTACAAATTTATTTTATAATTATTTATTTACTTAACCTTTTAGACTTAAGTTTATATTATATGTAAGAGGACATAAAAAAAATAAATAGACTTTTAATCAGTATCAATATTTTTTATGAGACTTCATCTCAATTCAATTTCTAAGCCTAAACGCCTAGTTACGCCTATATCTATATATTCTCTTTAAACAATTGAAAAAAAAAGTTTAATTAACCATTTATTAAACATAATTATAATATATAAATAAGCAATACTATGCTTGAAATTCTATTTAACAAATCATAATTTATTTACGCCTAATAAACAAACCAAAAAGATTATAGAGTAATTAAGCTTATATAATTAGTTTTATGCTTTAAATATAAATAATAAGTTAACACATTTTAAACTTTTAAAGACATGATGAAAGAAGATTACTTTTTTGTGACAGTAAATCAATTATATGATCATTATCAATATTTACCAACACTTCTTTTTCAACTGACATTAACATAAACGCTTCAGTATTTTCATTTCTAAGTTTATTTCTCAGCCGATTTTTTATATACTTTAAAGTAGAAAAAGATCGTTCACAGGCAACTTGGGTAACAGGCAGACACAATAAATACTTATAAGCAACTGTTAGTACTTGATAAGCGTTGCTATATAAATTATATTTTATCAGTAATTTGTAACAACACAGTGTACAGTTTCTACAACTATTACACTTAACTTCACTTATTTTCTCAGACACCTTCCAAATGATCCTCGTCATTTTCAAGTTCCCAATTCAATATTTCATATTCATCTGCAATCGACATTTTTAAAAATTCCCAGTTATTTGAAAAACTTATTAACTCTTCATGAATTTGATTGTAAACTTCATCTTCAGTTTTAAAGTTGGTAAATTTTAATATTTTTTTTGACAAAGTTTTAAAAGCTTGATGTGGTAATTTTTTCTTATATGCATAAAATTGTATAGGTGACAAAAGGGCCAAGTCTGTCAACAATTCACTATTATTAGAAAACCTTGATGTCATACTTTCAATTACCTACCTACTGTATCCATTACATAATTATGTACTTCAACTGTAAATTTTTTTTCAGCATCTTTTATGGGATCATCATAGAAATTCCCATCAGGCATTTTTTTTTTGCCTAAAACGTGTTACTTCAAATTTTTCTTGAATTCACAGCATATTTTCTTCATCGTCCATAATTTGATCTATTTTATTATTTGCCCACTCAATAAATTCATTACTTTTTTTATGTCTTCCATTCCACGCCTAAATGTTTTTAATTGTTTTATTGCTGCCTTTACTAACTGTTGGAATTTGAGTAAATCTATGCCACTAGTTTGAAGATATTTTGACAGTGGGCCAGTTATACTAAAAATGTTCGAAAAAATATGTGCTGTCAAGATGGTATCATATTTTAACAGCGAATTTAATAAATTCTTTGCCTTTAATCGGATATCCGGATTGAATTTTTGGTTATTAATTATTTTAGAAAATGCTACAATGAGGCATGGATACCTTGAATCTGTTGGATTTTTATATTTACCAAAAATGTGTTCAAGAGCGGTTTGTTTTGACCACCATCGAGTTTCACCAATTAATTGTAATTTTTTTTTGATGGGATTTTTTTATTGTAATATAGTTTACAAATATTATAATATACAATAGTATAAAGAAATTAAAAATAATGTAATTCAGCCGTCAGGCCAATAACAAATCCCAATAGGTCAGGCCACCAGGAACCTCCCTGTATCCCGGTGGGCCAGGCCGTCCCTGTACATATATACATATATATATTATATATCAAACATATTATGTTTGATGAACTATACTATAAAATATGCGTTAAAAAAACCTTCATATCACAATAATGCAATCTATTTTTTTGTTTAGTTTGACGATTTAAATTTTGACCATACCTATAAAAACTACTCTATATACTCACAGTATTATTCATACCATTGTAAATACTAAATCGTTTATAAAACAGTATCGTGGTTGGTCGAAACTATATTTTGTAAACAGTTTAACATTATGGTTTACGTTTACAGTTTTAACTAACTTATGAAATTTAAACGAATATTAAAAGACTAGGTACTTAGTGAACAATATTAAATGTCTATCATTTATTCAATGATAATAATACATGGTAGATGTTTGTCGACGACAAGTACGAGTTAGTTATATTAAAATAACAAAGATATAATTTTAAACGATTGTTAGGAAACATGCTAATTCCTATAAGTCCCTGGTCCTGGTTAATTGCGATGTATAATATGTGGTTTGAGATGAAATAGACGAGTCCAGCGATAGTCAGGAATAGAAAAAATTCAAAAATATAAGACCAGAATATGAGCAGTTAGACTCAGTGGTTCCCAACCCTAGGGAGGAATTTTCCACCCCGGTGAGGATTATTTAGATACGCACGGGAGGAAGTATAGTACATAGTAGCGAGGAAATGACGAGAATAGAATTCAACGAAAATAAAATTATCACAAATAGATAGTATATTAATTCAAAGTCGACAGTTTAAACACTTTAAGTTTTATCGACTCACCCATCGAGAAACAAAACTATCACTGATGAACTTGACCACTAGGAAAACATTGTTTGCAGTCGGCTTTGTCACTTCTGAAAGTATGCAATCTTTTCTGAGTTCAAAATTTAATAGGGAGGTGGGATGTCCGGCTGTGGTTGGCGGCGAGAAGTTTAAAATGATGAGAACCACTGAGCTAGAGTCCTATGTTTTATATACCTATAATAAAGCTGTCTTAATTTGAACTCGTGAAATTGCGAATAAACGATTAAAAGCGTTTTGGGCGTCGAAATAAAACACATATAGCTAATGACATATTATTAGAGTTTGCCGTACAGTTTAGTTCGCGGCCGAATGTGCGCACTGAAAACTTTATTAAACGTCGACTTTGTCCGTATATAGTGGTCGTATGGATTAAACGCCGCCATCGTTGCAGATTAACTCAGCGTTATATAAGCGCACTTTATGGTATATCCTATTATATTGTATTGTATATATATATATATACATATTACTATATATACGTATTACTTATATAATATTATTATAGCCGTACATAAAAAAAAAACGGTAATATTGTGTCACGCCCGAAAGAAATGGGCTCAGGATTTCGTTTATAATATAAAACAATGTGTACCTAATTTATTGTAGTCTGTATACGACCGACGACGATTAAGAGGATGTCACACCCACACGTGTTGTCTCCGTCTTAAACAAGTACGATATAGACAAAAGGTGTGTACGCAGTCTGAGTATAAATCGCCCTATTTTGGTTCTAGAGTAAAATACCTATTATAAAAATTAGAATGAATTGGATTGTGACAATATTCCTGAGGGAAAGTAGTTGCGTTTTTTCCATTATACCCAATATAGCGTTCGTTATATCGTTTAGAAATAGCAACAATTTCAACATTTTAAAAATATTTTAAACATTTTCAACATTTTATTTTCTAAGTTTTAATTTTTTTTAAATATCTCTACGTCTCGTCCTCCAAAATATTGTCGTCTTTTAATAGCGGTTTTTATTCTAACACCAAAATTGAACTGAGTTTTACTCGGACTGCGTAAACGCGTTTTGTCTATGTCGTTCGTGTGTAAGACGGAGACAACACATGCGGATGTGATGTCCCCTTAAATATTCTAATATTATACACACGAGGTGTGCTGGAGACGACGGCCTTTACGTGTTGTTCATTTCATACCACGTCGGGTTTTTACTTTCCAGTCGGTCTAATCAAGAGAACGATAATATTGAGCTGAGAATATTACTGAATATTGATATCATATTATAATATCGTCCGAATTACGAAGTTCACAAATCCGTCTTCTCGTCAGAGAATATAATAAGTTTGCCAGACACGTGCCGTCAGCTGCCGCCGCACAATAATATTATGACTGGTACGACACACACACATTGTATATTATTATATTATTAGATATTATTGAGGTTTTGTATGCGGGGCGAATCTTTTACCGAAAACCATTTGGTTATTTTCAAACTACTTTTTTTTTTTTTTTTTTTAAAGTATTTTTTTTTTTTGTACGACAACTTATTATTATACTTTGCTGATTTCCAATTCTGGAACGGAATGCTTTTCGGAGTACCTATTTCGATGTATAAAAATCGCATTTCGAATGAATAGTTTATTAGTTATGGGACGTGTTTAAACTTTAGATTGCAGTCAGCAGAGGAGAGGTACTCAGGGGTACCCCGTAAAATGTTGATCCACTCGTCTAAACTTCAAATACTTCAAACTAGGTAATTTACTTTAAGCACTTGTTAAAAAAACCACATTTTCACACATCGAAATACTAGAAAAATATGCTTTTACGATGCATTAAATTAACATGGTTTGGTGTGGCACGATCCGTACACTCAACTGTGAAAACGTATCGGCTGGTGTTGCTAGTTTCCTGATGGGTGACTATCCGGGATTTTTAGCAACAAATCCTTGCATACAAACGTGTTTCAACCAACCGTTCCTCCCCTACAAACAAAAAAACAGCTAATGGCCATAGTTTCCAGGCTTAAGCTAAAAAATAAAATTAACAATATATTATATTGTAAAAAATAAACTTTATATTTTTGAGATAATGAGCGTTTACTCATAATTTTAAGTGGATTTTTTTTTATCACTTCAATGCACATAATTTATTATAATATGGCCCTTGCGCACAAATTGGTTTTAAACTATATTCGACCGGAAATGATTCGATAGTAAAAAAAAAAAAACAGATTTTCTAGGTCAATTGAAAATCATTGAAATGTACAATTATTTTATGATTAGATGAATTTTCTAAGTTATCGCAGTTCATTGAAATCGAAACTGAATAATGGTTAGCTACCTACTAAGCACTACGTAACTCATTAAAATATTAAGTACCTATATATGTATGGTATAATATGATTATGAACCTATCAAAGGTTTTCGATATCGTTCGACGGGTAAATGTAAAAAAAAAAACTAACAACGTTCATCGATAGTTAAATATCGAATTATTCAGTTTCGATTATCAAAACTTTTTCAACAACAATTTTTTTTTATTATTTTATGCGCAGCCGAGTTGAGAAAGGTAATTCCAACTAGAACGTTATTATCAGTTTTCTAGCTTAATGAAACTATAATAACCATAAGAGCGCTCGTCCCAAGGACATTCGATATACATTATAACAACATTAAATCATATTATGTGTATGTGTATAGTGTACCTACGTCCTACACATTATGATTTATGATGTATAGCACACTTAAAATTTTAAATCAAATAATAATGATAACACGCGGTTAAAATTTTTCAAAAGGTATCTTCTATTATATTATGCAATATACTGTAAAGCACTCAATACTAATATTAGTCACGATTGTACAGTTAAAAAAAAATAACTGAAAATTACAATTAATATTGTAACTTGTAAGACATAAACCAATTCTATGCACCTGAAAGTAACCCGAAACCAGAAACCCGAATTAACCCAAATAAATATCATAACCCAAAACCTGAAAACACAAAACCGATTGAAAAAAATTGTGGTTTCATCGATTCCGCCAGACCTTTTTATACTTGGGGATAAGGTATATCGATTCCGTGACCATCGATTCCGCAGGTAGTACAGGTAGTCCAAAAACAACCTATCGATTCCGGCGGGGAAAAAATAAATCTCCCAAACAACAATTATACTAAATTGTAAATCGTAATCGTAGATTTATTAATAGATTATGAAGCTAAAAAAATTAATCATTTGCATTTCATTAGTTTGGCATCATCACATTATAAGAAATAATACTGTACAACTTAAAACTATATTTGTTTTGTGTATGTATATTGTATATTGTATATAAACAAATAATAATATTGTACAACTTTTGACATTTGACAACATCATGTATGTAATATGTATATAATGTACACATGATAAAAAATTTTATAAAATTGTATTTGTATTTTTGTATATTTAATATTGTATTGTATTAATAATTATTATATT